TGAAGATTCACTATACGCTAGAAGATACCCAATATGACGATGACTTTATCGTATTGGATTTGGATGAAAAATTTGATGTCATCCTTGGAATACCGTGGCTCAGAAGGTACGAACCACGGGTAAACTGGCAACATCGGACAGTAACGATGCCTGCCGCTTGTTCATCAGATGGCCATCTGATGAACGTTTTGGAGAGTCCACAAGCGTGTGGATGTACTACGAGTGAGTGCGATGGCCTCACTTGTGGTACGGTCGTTAGTACGACTGCACAAAACCTTAGTGTACCAAACGGTTACACTTCGGAGCAAAGTTCCGGCGGCTGTGAGGAAACACAGGCTGCGCCGAAGGTCCACCACTCGAATAAGTCGGGTGGACTGAGACAAAGATGTATCCCTAGAGGGGAACATCTAGAAGAGAAACAATCGATCGCTCAGGTTAAGCGAAACGATAATCCTAGATCGACTGGAAAGTCTTTCGTAGAGGATCTCGCTGTGGTTGCGCAACCCCAGCTAGAGGAAGTTAAGGGAATAAGTCCTGATATTATAAATACGGCGGAAAAAAGTTCCCCGAAACCCGCGGGAATAAGTCCCCGGGAAGACGAAGGAATAAGTCCTTCGAAGCCTGAGGGAATAAGTCCCCAGGAAATGACAGAGACATTGAATGTCATAGTCAATAACGGATCATGTGTAGGCGCTTATACACTTGATCTGATTGCGCCTCCGAAGTTAACTTCGGAGATCACTCAGTTGCCAACGCTCGAACATAAAAGATTCTTGCGTGATCTGCGTAGTGGCAAAGTCAAGCAGATCTGCATACTCGTCGCTGAAGACGAGTATGTAACCGACATAAGGTCAGCAACAGTGTTTACTGAGAACGAGAGAGTTCTCAGTAGTTCATCTATGGACGAGAGTGCCCTAGATGAAAAGACACGAATTGAGCGATATGAGTCCCAATCATGGGAATCGCTCAAGGAAAATCCTCTCTATGAAGATTTGGTTGAATTCAAGGATGTATTCCCTGAAACTGTTCCGTGCGAATTACCGAAGGATAAAGGTATTCGACACGAAGTCGAGCTTAAACCAGGCTCGAAGTACTGTGTCATGAAGCAGTGGCCACTGCCTCGTGAACAAGTACTTGCGATCGACAAGTTCTTTGCCGATCGTTTAGCTGCGGGCCATGTGAGGGAATCAACTTCCCCACATAGCTCTCCGACCTTCTGTGTGCGAAAAGCAACAGGAGGGTGGCGGATAGTGCACGCGTTCAACAAATTGAACGCTGCAACGGTACCGGCTCAGACGCCGATACCGAGGAAGGACGTAATAATTGATGGTACTTCAAAGAGTACCATCTTTTCGTCCATGGATTTGATGGATGGCTTCTATCAAATCCTTATGCAAGAACGGGATACACCCTATACCGCAGTTAGCACGCCTAGCGGCATGCTCTGGGAATGGCTAGTAATGCCACAAGGGCTTAGTAATGCCCCTGCCACGTTCAACAGATGTGTATCACATCTGTTGAGACCAGTACGAGAATTCGCGCCGAGTTATTTCGATGACGTATTCATCCATAGTCGGGCTATGGATGGAAACTCGGACGTTGAGGTTCACAGGTACCACGTCCGACAGGTTCTTACAATCATGCGAAAGCATCAATTGTATGCAAACCTCAAGAAGTGTATATTTGCAGCAAGCGAAATACCACTTCTTTAATGCATCGTTGGTAAGAACGGAGTACGTCCTGATCCCGAAAAGATCAAGGCGATCACCGACTGGCCTGTGCCGGTTGATGTCAAAGGTCTTCGAAAACTTCTTGGGCTAGCGGCGTATTGCATAAGTATTCACGCAATTACGCCGAGATGACTGTACACCTCTCTCGTTTGTTGAAAAAGAACGAGAGGTGGTTATGGAACGCTGAATGTCAGCGCTCCTTTGATGGTATCAAGCAAAGATTGATACAACCCCCAGTCCTAGCAATTGCCGATCAGGACAGGCCATTTCATGTGGCCTGTGATGCCAGCGATTTCGCAATCGGCTGTGCATTAATGCAGTACGATCTTGAAGGCGTTGAACGCGTCGTCTGCTATCAGTCGCGTCAGCTGCAACCAGCTGAGCGGAACTATCCAGTGCATGACAAGGAACTCCTTGCCATGAAGTATGCACTCGCGAAGTTCAGAGTCTATCTATTAGGAGATAGACCCTTCATTGTTTACACTGACCATGCGTCATTACGCACGGCAGTGAACAGCCCGCACCTTTCACAACGAATGGCGCGGTGGTTGTCATTCTTTGCAGAATACAACTTTACGGTCGAGTACAAACCAGGACGACTTAATGTCGTCGCTGATGCACTCTCACGTCGTCCCGACTTTGAAACAGTCGCGAAACCCAACAGTGAGACGGTCACTGTTGCGGTTATGACGTCCTCAGTCCCATCTACAACGTTGTATGATGATGTGAGGCGGGCATACGCCCAAGATGGTGAGATTGTGAAGTTGTTGACACATCTCTCCCAACCATCTCGAGAATCGTTGAAACGATTGTCTTCTGCGTATCGATCTGCATCAGATCGATACACTACACGTAACGGTTTACTGTACTATACAGCCGTTTCTGGTGACACACCGCGTGTTGTCATTCCAGATGATACTGATCTGCGTTTGCGGATCATGTTCGAGTATCACGATGCTCCTATAGGAGGACATCGTGGCCGAGAGAAAACATATCTCACGGTAAGTCGAGACTTTTACTGGCCCCGCCAGTATCAGTTTGTGCGAAAGTATGTTCGCGCATGCGAAGTCTGCCAACGAGTGAAGTCAAGTCCTTCACTGCGTGCACCTTTACAGCCTCTACCGGTTCCGGCTGAGTGCTGGGAATCCATCTCAATGGATTTCGTCTTCGGGTTACCCAAAGACGCACGCGGGAATACGGGTATTCTCGTATTTGTTGACAGATTCAGCAAAATGGTACACCTTGTGGCTGTACCAGAGACAATCACGGCAAGTGGCTGTGCTTGTGTCTTTATTGACACCATCTTCCGACTTCATGGGTTGCCCCGTGAACTCGTATCAGACAGAGATCCACGATTCACTGCTGATTTCTGGCGTTCCGTGTTCAAATCACTCGGAACGCGCTTGAAGATGTCAACATCTGATCATCCAGAGTCAGATGGTCAGACGGAACGTGCCAATCGTGTCCTTGAAGAGATACTTCGAGGATACGTACACTCCTTTAAGAGTTGGAGTGAGTTTTTGCCGATGGTAGAGTTTGCCATCAACAACTCGGTGCATGCGTCCACGACACATACACCGTTTTACGTGAATGGCTTGCGCCATCCGCGTGTACCCACCTTACTAGAGTGTAACTCTGGTTTAAGGGGGGAGGGACTCGCGCGAGCAAAAACCGATTTGGTTCACGCTCATCACGCTCTGACGAAGAAGTCATTGCGTTTGATGCCGATATCGATAACATCGATATCGAAGAAGATGATGCCAGTGAGAGTGCGGAAGCCCTCACTGAAGAAAAGGTTGTTGTCGCTGCAGTGCGCTCACAGCACACTGAAGCTAACGAGTCATCAGATGAGTTCATACTGGCTCGTGAAACGGTAGTCCGTTTTGTGCAAGACTCCATCGCCGAAGCGGTGGATAAGCAAAAGCAAAACGCTGACAAGAATGGAAGGGCAAACACTCTTTTATTTAATAAAGGTGACTTAGTCCTACTGTCTACGGTTAATCTACCAAAGCATGTAGTGACTAACTTGGGTAGCAGTAAACTACTACCCAAGTACATTGGCCCATTTCGTGTATTGCACCGCCTAGGCAATGCATACACGATCGAGTTACCACGTAAGATGCGAACGCATCCCACGTTTTACGTTGGTCGGCTTAAGCCGTACCATCAGTACGCTGCTTCTTCCGATGAAGAACGCCCTTGCGCTCAAGCATCTCGCAGAGAGCCTTGTGCTCCCGATGGTGGGCATCAACAAGGGTCTGAAGAGCAGTTATCTCAGCCCGAGACCGATCAACAATCCCACGAGCTACCCTTAGCTCGTCACGAAGAGATGTCAGAGATCTCTCGTTCTCAAGCTGAGCAAAGGCAAACTCAGCTCGATGCTTCGAGGCAGTGTCCACCATCTGGAGACGCCTATTCCGCTCATGCTCGAGATCGTCGCGTAACCCTTGCGTTACGCGATCAAAGAAGCTCTCGGGAACACACCGATCCACATGATCGTGTGGAGAGCGTCTTTCCTCCTCCTCCACCTCCATTAGAGGACTCTCGCGGTGGCCAGCGCTATCTAGTTGAGCAGCTGTTGAACCACCGCGACGTGAACGGACGTCGGACGAGTTACCTCGTCCGGTGGCGCGGCTATCCCCCGTCCTGGGATTCTTGGGAGCCCCGCTCCCAATTGATGGTTGACGTACTGGGTCTGGTCGAGCAGTACGACGCGACACATCCTGTGCCGCAGAAGGACCGCCGGAGAAAGTCTTCCCGGCACGGTCGTAAAGGGATTTCAGGTTGTCAATCCCTTCGTCCCTTCGTCATCTCAGTAGAGACACGTACGCGCCACCACGGGCTGGTAAGGAGGTAAGCCTCCTTAGGTGCTCGTGCAGAGTTGTTCACACAACATGGGCACGAGTCTCCCCAAGAGAGGCAGGGTAATCCTTTCTCCCTTGACAGACGATGCAGCTTGTAGCGTGCACCTGTCGGGGTTCGCTTTTCAAACTTATCACGAGCTTTGATAAGTTTGTCGTTCCAAGCGTCACGACCTACATCCTCGAGATTATGGATGTAGGCGTTCCACGCCTGAAGTAGTGAGGGACCATCACGTTTGTGATTCCCACTGTACCATCGATGTCTGAAGAAAGCATCGATGAAGAACTCATGTTCAGCGCGATAGTCTTTCGCGCTGGGGTCAAGGTGATGAATCCTCGACGAATCGAACAATCGTGTTCGATAATGTTTCGATCACTCGTCGTCGCCGACAAGTGATCCATGACAGATTTAGGAGGCATCCATGCCCTTCTTTTCTGGAGCGAGACGCAACACATTGCGGTCCCGCTCTTCCTGCGACGTGCCGACAGAAGTACTGGCACCTCGCTGTGAAGTGGTGTCCATTGGAGAAACGACACCACTATTAGCGCCCGAGTCTCGCGACCTCGAGCGCCTTCGCTTCGGCGATGGTTCATCTGACTCATCAGATGAACCAAAGATGCTGCGACGCAAAGAATCATCGTCCATGCCACGCTTGGCAGGCGGCTTGGATTCAATTGCCGTCGATACGGATCCGTCATCCGTATCAGGAGAGTACGAGACACCGAGCTCGTACTCTGTGAAGACACGAGTGTCTTCATGACCAGCGCCTGCATCACCAGGTGATACAGGCTGAGTCGATTCAGCAACCGATGGGACATCAGTTGCTGTAGTTTCTGCTTCGGCGTCCGCACAGAGACGTGCAGACGCGCTCTCGGCGGCCTTGCTCGCGCATCGCATGGGCTTGTTTACCATGCGATGAGATGTTGGAAAGTGGACGCGGACCAACAAGTGCAAACCCCGTCCCAAATGATTTGGGACGAGTATCCATTTAGTCAATCAGTCACTAAAGTGACTGATGGTTAAGGGGGGGGGTGATGTAACGGGGTGAATCGTTACATAACAATTTATAAGAAATTGTTAATAGAATATAACTATAAGAGTTATATTCTCAGAATATTGTCATAAGGACAAATATTCTGTAGCGCCTACGAGTAGTTCCTAATTGGTTGATATAGGCCATTACATCAACCAACGAAGACGCGCCACGACAGACGCACGCAATGAGTGGTGAGCAGATAATTGATTTACACATTTGTATTTAGACATAGTTAGATGAAGATAAACAGTGATTTCTTGCAGACATTAACTATGATAAATACTGTTCTACTTTTTACTTTAACCAAGTACTCGCTTCTTCTTACCGTCTTCCTCTGCACGTAACAGTGTACGTGAAGTTACGAGGCACCGCCTTATTCTGTCATCAGAGTAAGTAGCTTGTACTGTCACCAGTACAAGCTTCAGGGTGCCCCGTTACAAGCAAGGAACTTACTGTCTCGGGCATCACGGAGAGTGATGTATCGCTTCATTGTCGTGCCAAAGCGGTCGTGACACAGCTCAAAAAGGATCATTCCCAACGAGTACATGTCCGTCTTGGCGTTGTACTTCTTCCCTGCGACTTGTTCCGGGCTTGCATAAAGATACGTGCCAACACCCGCAGTCACCTCAGTACTCTCCGACATGTTCGACCACACCGACATAGATAGAGGAGTGTCCCCCACACCATTGGAAAGACATCCTTGTTGGGGATCATCAAGACTTGTCGAGACATTCAGGCTGCTTGCATTCGCAGCGTAGCGCGATAAGCCAAAATCTTCCAACTTAATCTCATCTCTCTACGTCGGCAACAAAGATATTCGCTGGCTTCAGATCGCGATGAATCAGTCCACAAGAATGTACGTGCATCAGTGCACTTGCAATCTGCACAAAAATCTTGAGCATTCTCGACAGTTCCATTGGCCGAGTCGGAACAGCCAGATAGTCCGCCAAGTTGCGGCCAGCACAGTACTGCATCTGAATGTACAGCCATGATCACATTTTTTCTACCGCGTTGCACGAAGAGTCCTCGTCGCTACCATGAGCAGCCGGTGCGCAAGGCAAAGACAAACGGGAAGGCAGGTGGCTCATGCTTGGCTTGTTTTGCATGACCAGATCTTCTTCTTTCCAGCCATCCTCACCTTCCATCCTAGACGTCTTACGTTCCCAGACAAACCCACCATCATCGGCATTGTCACTGATCACGCTTCCGTCGCTGTAGAAGCTCTAGAGGTCGCGTTGGTCGACTGGAAACTCAAGCTCTGAGATCGGTACGAGAAGATTATTTGTTGAGTAATTTGCCGCGGCAGCGAGACCACCTACTGAGCTCGTGTCGGAGACAACCGAAGACGCTACCGACGTTCCATTTGTGCTCTCCCCAACCTTTTCCAGCCATGCCTGATAGTACCGAACAATGTTAGGGTGGTCCAACAGCGCAAGAATCTTTACTTCACGTAAAAACTTCTGCAAAGTCTTCGACGTCTGGTTCTTCAAGTTAAGACCAACCCGTTTGATCGCATACCTTCGTCCATCCAACCGATTCTCGGCGAGTGCAACTTGACCAAAGTCACCTTTGCCAATTGCTGACAGCTCTTCAAACTCGTTCACAAAACGACTTTGGAAGACAAACGGGAAAAGAACTTCTGCCTCATTCGAGGAAGCCTCGGATTCACACGAGGATGATTGCGATAATCCTCGAACACTGGACTGGTCCACGCTTAGCTTTTCATCCATACCAGTTTGATTGCCTCGCACACATCGCGTACCACCACCTCCACTCGACTGATGACTACTGTCACTGTCGCTGTTGCTGCAATAGCTTCCCGTTGTCAATTCTCCGAATGAGCTTCTCGACTTTGGACCGCTCATGACTCTTGAGTCGGTACCTGCCTAAAACGCGTCATTCTTTGAATACATTGGCTTGGAGCAGCCGTTCCAAAGCATTATACCACGTGATCGGTGGTGAAGGGCACATGTATAGAGATTGATTGTGTTGATATTTCGACCTTTAGTGTAACGGGGTAGCCCGTTGCTTGAAATTGACACCAAACGGTGTCAATAGGGAGATTGTCTAGCATGACAGTTTCCTTCCAAAATTATCCAAGATAGATTAAATTGACGGAATTATCCCCTTTTGGATAATTTTCATGCGCTGCTCCAAGACTGGTTGACATAAGACATATCAACCATAGATTGCCACCAATCGCTGCTAGACGCGCGCTATGAGTGGTGAGCAGGTTGTCGTCATACAACGACGTAGTTTAATGTAGTAAGATAAAGAGTAAACTTATATTGATAAGCTAACTATATTAAATACAGTTCTCTTTTTACCTTTACTTGAACGAGTCGTTCAGGTCGATTAGCTTCCTCTGCACGTACGAGTGTACGTGAAGTTTCGTGGCCACCCCGATAAAGGGTGCCCCGTTACACCTGGTAGCACTTTGTAGTCCGTCCAACGACTGCTTAGTGTCCATCCAACATGAACATGTTGGACGTAGAAGACGACAGCTTTCACGTCATACGTGAAGGCCACTACCATCTGAGTGACTCAGAGTGGGGGGTAGTCGGCCGCATGAGTGTGCTCATGGGCGATCTCGCCATCAGTGGTATGTTGGAATCTCGAAGCAGAGACCAGCAACATGCTGCTATCAACAAGGTCCTACAAGGGGAACTTGCCTTCGAAAGACAAGAGATAGCCTTGCTTCACCAGCAAGGCTCACATCAGTCGATGGGTGGGCCGACGCACATGCGTCAACCCGAGACCTTGAAGATTGATATCTTAAGATATAAGGGAACCGATGAAGAGTCCCTTTTGAGATGGTTCGTCCAGTTAGACGATGCCATCAGGGCCCGTCACATCGAGGGTGACGAGATGCAAGCCACCTTCGCCCTGTAAAATTTGACATGACGAGCAAAGACTTGCGCCTTAGGGCTCAAGCTTCACGACCCAAACGTGTTTGAGTCGTTGGAGATCTTGAAGTCTCGTCTCAAAGAGACGTTCGAGCCGGCGATAGCCGTGTTCAGATCACGCTCTGCACTCTTGAGGCTAAAGCAAGGTAAGCGTGACGTGCACGCTTACGCACAACACCTGAGCTACCTTGCGAGTAGCGTTACGGAAAACCCTGTTGATGAGCACACGCTCATCAACGTGTTCATCTACGGCCTAGTTTATGGGCCGGTGAAGACCTACATGTTTCAAGAGGACTTCCATACGCTTGAAAAGGCAATAGCGTATGCGAAACAAGAAGACTTCAGCCTGAGACAGCCTCAGGCTAAATCGTCAAACTATCGTCCGACGAGACGACAGGAAACAGAATGTCCCGAATCAATGGACCTCTGTTACATCGAGAGCGAGAACTCTCGCTCTCTGAGACACAAGCGAACGGCAAGATGCCATCGCTGTCAGAAGATTGGACAATACGCTCATTAGTGTAGTGTCCCGAGCACCGCAACACATCCGAAAACAGGATGTGATGAGCACCATTAGCCAAGAAAAGTTTCAAGACGCGGGTCCGACCATGTCGCTTAATTGCAATAGCAAGTCGGACCGCCAAAATTGGTCAGGGTTAGTAGGGGCGGAGCTCCCTGCTGATCCAGCAACGTCAAGAGAATTTGCAGGACTCTCGACGAAGATTGCTCCCAACACACAGTCACTGTGTGTTACTGCCCTTAGTGATGAGGAGTCTCTCATTACTTTGAAGATCGAAGTGACAAGTAGAATGCCCCTTTGCGCCCTAGTTGACTGTGGGGCGTCGAACCGTTTTATTCGACGTCAGTCGCTAGGGGATAGTAGGCTCAACTATGTTGAGCGAGATATCCCTCCAACGAGGATGACGGTGTGAATTGCTACAGGCGAATCCGTAACAGTGAACAAGCGTGTAGTGGGAATCCACTACACGCTAGAAGGAAAGCAGTTTGATGATGACTTTATAGTACTAGATTTGGATGAAAAATTTGATGTCATCCTCGGTCTGCCATGGCTTAGAAGATACGAGCCAAGCGTTAGCTGGTCGCATCGATCCGTGAAGATGCCTGCCGTTTGTTCATCGAATGGTCATCTGATGAACGTTTTAGAGCGTCCACAAACGTGGAAATGTACTACGAGTGAGTGCGATACCCTCACTTGTGGTACGGTCGTTAGTACGATTGCATAAGATCACAGTGTAGAAAACCAATACACTGTGAAACAGCTTCCGGCACCTGTGTAGAGACACAGGCTGTGCTGAAGGTTCACTACTCGAAAAGATCGAGTGGTTCGAACCATGGATGCACGCCAAGAAGTGTGCATCCAAGAAGATAGATGAGTGTTGTTCAGGATGAACAACACGTTGAAACGAGATCAACTATCAGAGAGTCGATCGTAGAGCAAGCCCGATCTACTGATAGAGAGTCGATCGAAGAGGCCGTGACTGTGGTAGTACATTACAGGCAGTACACGTATTGCAAGAAAGTTTTAGAGTTCCTGAGAGTGATAACTTCAGAGAGAGCTATGTTTAGGGTGTGTTTCCTCAACCACCTGCTGATGTGTTTTTCCAGGAATCAACGAGCCAAAAAATATCTTAGTGAATGACGGATCCAGCGTGGTCGATTATACACTTGATCTGATTGCATCTCCAAATTCAGCTCCGGAGGTGATAAAGTTGCCAACGCTAAAACTTAAAAGAATCTTGCGAGATCTGCGCAGTCACAAGATCAAGCAGATCTGCGTACTCATCACAGAAAACGAGTGCATTGCCGATATTCGGTCGGAACAAGTGTGCTGAGAACGAACGGGTTCTCAGTAGCTCATCGATGGACGAGAGTGCCCTCGATGAGAAGATCTGGATTGAAAGGTACATTTCTCAATCTTCGGAGTCTTTGGAGAC